TTCTCCAGGCAAGAATACTGGAGTGGTTATCCATTCTCTTCTGCAGGGGATCTTCCTAACGCAGGCATTGAGCCCATGTCTCCTGCACTGCAGGCAGATTCTTTACCATCTGAGCTGCCAGGGAAGCCCCAAGTGAGTGCTAGAAGGGCCTCAAGTGTTGAGGTTGTTGGTGATTGAAAGTGACCATTTCTGGGGGAAAAAGCTAGGTGTGTGTACTCGAACACTAGATTTTTTTTTTTCCCTCATTAATGTTTAGATTTTGTGTTTACATCATATGACTTATTTAATGCCTTTTCTATTGAAATTCCTGCAGAAAAAAAAAAAAAAAACTTTGTTCATGTACATATACAACTCTTTAGCCCCATCTCGTTTTTCCTCTCTTCAGAAAACAACTCTTAATACAAGGGCCTCCTGGGATTGTAGGCCTGGTAGAAGGGACACTAATAATATCCAAGAAACAATGCAGGGGAAGGATCTGAAGGACATGGCATATACTTGTTAGATTGAATTGGCTCAGTGGACTTCTGAGACTTTTTTGTGGGCAGCTTTTGTGAGATTTAGAGCATGGGTTGGCAAACTATGCCGTGTATGGCAAATCTGGCCAAGGCCTGTTCTGGCCAAGGCCTGAGCTCAGAATATTTCTTATATTTTTTAGTTGTTGAAAAACAAAACAGTATGTGATAGAGGCAGTAAGTGGTCCAAAAAGCCTAAAATATTTACCATTTGGCTCTTAATAGAAAAAAACTTTGCTGATTGCCCATATAGAGTATAGCCATACTTCTCTTAAGTGCAAGTCGCTCAGTCGTGTCCGACTCTTTGCGACCCCATGCCAGAATACTGGGGTGGGTGGCTATGTCCTCCTTCAGGGGATCTTCCTGAACCAGCGTCTCTTCCGTCTACTGTATTGGCAGGCAGGTTTTTTACCACTAGTGCCACTTGGAAAGCCCACTATTGTGAATGGAGTATTCTGTAAGTTCCATCAGGTAAAACTGACTGATAGTGTTTAAGTCTACTCTGTTCTTTCTAGTTTTCTGCCTAATTATCCAATCAAGAAAAAGAGGAGGGGGGGGAAGGGGGGTGTAAATTGTACAAGATTGCATTTCTTAACCTTTATCTAAGCCATATATTTTCAAGTTCTCCCTAAGATGTTTTCCTCTTTTGTCAAGTAATTGTCCTTTGACAAAACTCCTTAAAAAGGTCCACTGTATTGTTAATTAATAAATTTGCTCATGTTGTGTTCACTTTTCACCCGTCTTTCATTCATGCTGTAGGCTTTAGGCCTATGCTCATGAATTGCAAATAATTTAGTTTTTAAAAAAACATATAGTTCATACTGAAGCAATCTGAGTGCTTCTCATGCTTGTATATTGCCACTGTTTTAGTGTGTTATTTGCATGTTAAATGTTTAGTTCTAGAATCTGATTTTGATGGGCTTCATTATTGTATCATGGGACTGAGCTGCCTTTTTGTTTGCAAAGAAGCTCACAGAGAGAAATTCCAAACAAATCTTTTGTCTTGCTTTAACAACCAGTAAAAATATAGCAGTAAGTACAATCACTGAGCTGTTCTCCTCCACCCCAGAACAGTTCCAGTTTTTCTAAAAGAGAGAAGCAACCCTTTAAAAGATAAATCACTGTGTTGTAGTTAATATAAACCCATTTTTATAATTTAAAATTTTATTTATTAATTTGGCCATGCCAGGTCTTGGTTGCAGCACTCAGAATCTTCAGTTGCAACATGTGAAATCTAGTTTTCCTGGCCAGGGATTGAACCCAGGCCCCCTACATTGGGACACAGAGTCTTTAGCCACTGGACCACCAGGAAGTCCCTGCATTAAAAAATATATATATTTGTTTTTGGCTGTGCTGCATCTTTGTTGCAGAGAGGGCTTTTCTTCAGTTGTGGCGAGCAGGGGCTGCTCTCTAGTTGCGGGCTTCTCTTGTTGCAGAGCGCAGGCTCTAGGGCACATGGGCTTCAGTAGTTGCAGCACGTGGGCTCAGCATCTGCGACACCCGGGCTCTCCAGCGCAGGCTCAGTAGTGGCGCACCAGCTTAGTTGCTCCATGGCATATGGGATCTTCCAGACCATGGAGCGAACCTGTGTCTTTGGCACTGGCAGGCAGATTCTTTACCACTGAGCCACCAGGGAAGCCCCCTGCGAGTTTTAATAGAAGAGGAGCATAATAAAAATTTCATGAGTTTAAAGCAGTAAGTTAGTTTTAGTAAAAATTCAACCTCACATCATCATGTATTAGAACAGCCTACCAAATGATTATTTTTAAAGTTACAAACAGAAGTCACTTGAATAAATGTCTTCCGGTTCAGATGTGCTGTCTACCTTCAGTGTACTATGGTTCTGGAGTGGGAGAAGGGTTTAGGATAACAGTTCTATATCAGCAGTCTAACTGACATGGCCTTTTGGTTGTCAGGACAGTGCTATCACTGTGATCCTGGGGTTGGTTCCATTGTTCTGTAGTTGCATAAGGCAGTAGAGGGGATGGTGATTGCATATCTTAAATAGTGTAAGCCTCTTTGGTGGGCAGATGTGACAGAAGTTTTGTTGCTTCAATTTTCTGAGTGAAATGGGAAGTAGGTCATCAGTTGAGAATAAGAGTGGTGAATGAGGGTTGGAGGTTTGAGGAGAGGAGGACATAGTGTGAAATTGTACAGGAGAATGAGAAAATGGATCAGAGAAATGTGGTGTGACTATTGGGCATCATTAAGGGATGTTTGAGGTTTTAAAGTGAAATCAAAGGGTGTTTTGTTTGTTTTTCCTGTAGTCATATTAACATAGGCAGTTATGGAATAAATGGGGAATTGGATTGAATCAGGATTTGGTTTGCCAGGTGTATTCCTAGTACAGTAAAACCGAAGAGAGTCCTATTTTTTTTTCCCCCATGAGAGGTATGTAGGTAAAGCAGTTCTTCAAAGGAATACCAGACTTTAGTTAGAAAAAGAAGGTGGTGGAGGGACTGTGCTAAATGAGCTTTAGAGTGTAGGACATTTTGCTGATGAAGGGTCATGGGTTCTAGAGGGCATTCTGTGAGTTTTAAAAAATTTATTTATTTACTTTTGATTGTACTGGGCCTTCATTCGCTGTGTGCAGGCTTTCTCTAGTTTTGGCAAGTGGGGGCTACTGTTTGAATTGCATGACTTCTCATTGCACAGTGGGCTCTAGGCACACGGGCTTCGGTAGTTGGAGCTGCCAAGCCCTAGACCATAGGCTCACTAGTTGCGGCACATTGGCTTAATTGCTCTATAGCATGTGGCATCGTCCCCGATCATGAATCAAACCCGTGTCCCCTGCATTGGCAAGTGGATTCTTAACCATTGGACCACCAGGGAAGTCCCCATCCTGTGATTTTTTTTAACTAGGGGATCATGGTATAATTTGCTCCTACTTAAGTGAATCTATTTTAAAGGAGAACCATTGACCTAGAAAATGGACATTTTGAATGGAGAGACAGAATTTTGCAACCAGAATTAGATTAAAGGATATACTAAGGTTTATGATTAGAATATCTAAAGGATTTGAGAGGAACCTGCAAACTCCACCATCATAATTCTGTCTAGAATATCTCTTGTCCTAGGGGCTTCCTTTTTTGTTGTTTTTGATTTGGCTCCCCGGTTGGCTTGCTGCTGCTGCTAAGTCGCTTCAGTTGTGTCCAACTCTGTGTGACCCCATAGATGGCAGCCCACCAGGCTCCTCTGTCCCTGGGATTCTCCAGGCAAGAATACTGGAGTGGGTTGCCATTGCCTTCTCTGCCAGTTGGCTTATGGGATCTTATTTCTCCAACTAGGCTTGTACCCTCTGCAGTGGAAACTCTTCTGCCTAGCCACTGAACTGTAGAGGTTTCGTTATGGAATATAGGCTCTTCCTTTTTGTATTGTCCTGGTAAGAAAGAGGCAGGTAGAGAAGGGAAAAGAGATTTTGATAGCATGCTAGTATCTATATTTAATATATAATAATATCTATAGACATATTAGAGATACAATGTTTAATATTTTCTATATATCTAATATATATGTTATATGGAGGATGAAGCGCAAAATCTTTAATCTACTCAGTCCTAATTTGTGGAGTTTCACCTTTTTCAATATATAATGCCCCATCTCTTTCTAATCAGTCACCAGTAGTAGGATACAGAGGCTAGGGATCCGGGCAAAAACTTAAGTAGTGGTATAAACAGTAATTTTTAAAAACCATTTAAGCTTGAAATTGTTTCAGATTTACAGTAATTGAAGGAAATATGTTAATCTTCCACTGTGATCCTAGATTTGTCTTATTCTCCCTATTAATTTTTGTGCTATATTCATTTTAGGACTGTTCATTTAGGACTATATTCATTTAAGATTGTCGTAACAATCTGGTGAATCAGACATTTGAAATCATGTAGTAACCTGTACTATTCCTATTGATGTTTAGCATCTCTTTTCTAGTATTATTTTTCTTTTGATTAGAATTTGCTTGATGCGTTTTTCGTTGCCTGTGCCATTAGCCATTCCATGCCCCTGTGCTTTAGTTATTTATCTTAGAAATAGAATAATATATCTAGGGTTTTTTTTTTTTGGCTGTGTCATGCGACCTGTGGGATCTTAGCTCACAGACCAGGACTCAGGGGACCCAACTTGCGCCCCCTTCAGTGGAAGCACAAAGTCTTAGCCATGGGAATGCTTGGCAAGTCTCTGACAGTCACTTTTAATTGGCTCTAAAATGATCCATTTCCCAGGATCATACCAGCCCCTCTTGAGGTTTTTAATTCTGCATAGCACTGTTGATTTAGTATCTGCATAGTACTGTTGATTAGTAATCTCAATCTCAGTGGGTTTAAATGGAATGATTCTCATATTTTAGTTGTGCTGTCATCAATAAACATGTTATATGTAATAAATACTTAGTGAACTAAAACTGGAATTATTTTTTATGTATTTCTTATTAAATTTTTCTTTGTAATATTAATTGGTTAATTTATAAACAATCTTTTAAACTTTCTGTTTTAGTCCCAGAAATCCTGGATAGAAAGCACTTTGACCAAGAGGGAATGTGTATATATCATACCAAGTTCCAAAGACCCTCACAGGTAAGTATACTTCTCTTTATTCTGAATTCTTCTAGAAATTTAGATGTAAATTGCATTGCTATTTATTTATTAAAAACTAAAATTATTAATTATATATAGTTACTGTTGGGTGAAGGAAATGGCAGCCCATTTCCAAGTGTTCTTGCCTAGAGAATCCCCTGGACAGAGGAGCCTGGTGGACTGCTGTCCATAGGGTCTCAAAGAATCGGACACGACTGAAGCAACTTAGCATGCATGCATGCATTGGAGAAGGAAATGGCAACCCATTCCAGTATTCTTGCCTGGAGAATCCCAGGGACAGAGGGGCCTGGTGGGCTGCCGTCTATGGGGTTGCACAGAGTCGGACATGACTGAAGTGACTTAGCAGCAGCAGCAGTTACTGTTAATTTTTGTGTTTACTGTTAATCTTTTAGGATTAGGAGGAGATAGTATTAACAAGATAGCATTCTGCAGTTCTTAATGACATTTCACAACATGAAACCTCTCATTCAGAGTGTTCTTCCTTCCCTGATGGTCCCCCATATCATACTAGTGTATTACAAAGATCAAACACTTAAGTCTCTTTTTTAAAAATTTGATTTATTGAGACTGAGAACTTAAAAAGTTTATGTATCTGTTTAAGGGGCATCTATTGAGTACCCAACACTATAGTTTATGCTGAAGAAAACAGTAAGAACCTAATGGTTGCTGTTTTTGTTTGCCAACATGTAGCTATAGATGAGTACCTATTGGAAAACTCATCACCAGAAATTTGTTGGCATCTCTGATTGTCCTTTGGTCTTAAAAATGGCACTGATAATAGAAAAAAAATTTAAGTAAAGGACATGAGTTAGAATTCAAGAAAAAGATCTCTTGAGGTATTTATTGAAGAAACATTCTTCCTAAATTTTTTCTTTTTTCTGAGACCTAAAAATAGCCAAAAGCATAAAAGGGTACATCAAAGATGAACTTACTTCCTGGACTACAAAGCACTTTTCTTCACAAGCACTTAGGACAAATTAATTGAAAAAGGTGTTTACTCGGGTTTTTAGTCGTCTTACCATTTCTGTCTCCTATTAAACCTTGTTTTCTATGCAGTTATCTTCTCTACAACTTTCACTTCCATTTGATATATGGCTCTTATGAAAATACAGCCAAGTAAACAATCTTTTATTAACTATTTTAAGTTACAGTATGTGTGTGTTCAGTCACTCAGTCGTGTCTGACTCTTTGCTGCCCTATGGAATGTAGCCCACCAGGCTTCTCTGTCCATAGGATTTTCCAGGCCAGGAGTACTAGTGGGTTGCCATTTCCTTCTTCAGGGGAATCTTCTTGACCCAGGGATCCAACTGGTGTTTCCTGCATTGGCGGGCAGGTACTTTTACCACTGAACCACCTGGGAAGCCCGGTCTTTTATTAACTGATGTATATTAAATTATAGCACCTGTCCCTATTATTGTGACATCATAGTGAATTCTCGGTAAATATTTGTTGAATAGAATTTCTGAATATTTTGTTTGTATATTACATAAACTTTTTGTTTGAAATTCAACATTTCTTTTTATATTAATGGCAAAAAATTTTGAGTCTCTCTCGTTTATACAAATTTTCATTATAAGAGAAATGTGCATGATAAATTTTGCAAACTTGAGATGCAGAAAGTTGGCTCAATGTTCACAGTATCAAAACATGAAGACAGTCGTTATTAGTAACATTTATTGCACCTATTTTTAATCTTTACTCAATGCATAGCTTTTGTTTTAAAATATTGCTAAGTTCAGTTTATATGTAAAACACTGTATCTTTTTTTAAACAAAATGTTATAGTAATTTTATTTTTGCATAATATCCCTTTAAGAGTAGTAGTTAATACTCTGTTGGTGTATGTACAGTTCATATATGTATCCTACTATTGGGCACTTGAGTTGTTTTCAATTTTTAGCCTATTTTAAATTAAAATTAGGTCGTAATGGAGATCTTAGTGGATAAAACTTTTTGTTTCAAGGTTTTTTTTTTTGTTTTTTTTTTTCATTTATTTTTATTAGTTGGAGGCTAATTACTTTACATCATTGCAGTGGTTTTTGTCATACATTGAAATGAATTAGCCATGGATTTACATGTATTCCCCATCCCGGTCCCCCCTCCCACCTCCCTCTCCACCCGATCCCTCTGGGTCTTCCCAGTGCACCAGGCCCGAGCACTTGTCTCATGCACCCAACCTGGGCTGGTGATCTGTTTCACCCCAGATAATATACATGTTTCGATGCTGTTCTCTTGAAACATCCCACCCTCGCCTTCTCCCAGAGTCCACAAGTCTGTTCTATACATCTGAGTCTCTTTTTCTGTTTTGCATATAGGGTTATCGTTACCATCTTTCTAAATTCCATATATATGTGTTAGTATACTGTAATGGTCTTTATCTTTCTGGCTTACTTCGCTCTGTATAATGGGCTCCAGTTTCATCCATCTCATTAGAACTGATTCAAATGAATTCTTTTTAATGGCTGAGTAATATTCCATGGTGTATATGTACCACAGCTTCCTCATCCATTCGTCTGCTGATGGGCATCTAGGTTGCTTCCATGTCCTGGCTGTTATAAACAGTGCTGCGATGAACATTGGGGTGCACGTGTCTCTTTCAGATCTGGTTTCCTCGGTGTGTATGCCCAGAAGTGGGATTGCTGGGTCATATGGCAGTTCTATTTCCAGCTTTTTAAGAAATCTCCACACTGTTTTCCATAGTGGCTGTACTAATTTGCATTCCCACCAACAGTGTAAGAGGGTTCCCTTTTCTCCACACCCTCTCCAGCATTTATTGCTTGTAGACTTTTGGATAGCAGCCATCCTGACTGGTGTGTAATGGTACCTCATTGTGGTTTTGATTTGCATTTCTCTGATAATGAGTGATGTTGAGCATCTTTTCATGTGTTTGTTAGCCATCTGTATGTCTTCCTTGGAGAAATGTCTGTTCAGTTCTTTGGCCCATTTTTTGATTGGGTCATTTATTTTTCTGGAGTTGAGCTGGAGGAGTTGCTTGTATATTTTTGAGATTAATCCTTTGTCTGTTGCTTCGTTTGCTGTTATTTTCTCCCAATCTGAGGGCTATCTTTTCACCTTGCTTATAGTTTCCTTTGTTGTTCAAAAGCTTTTAAGTTTCATTAGGTCCCATTTGTTTATTTTTTGCTTTTATTTCTAAAATTCTGGGATGTGGGTCATAGAGGATCCTGCTGTGATTTATGTCGGAGAGTGTTTTGCCTATGTTCTCCTCTAGGAGTTTTATAGTTTCTGGTCTTACATTTAGATCTTTAATCCATTTTGAGTTTATTTTTGTGTATGGTGTTAGAAAGTGTTCTAGTTTCATTCTTTTACAGGTGGTTGACCAGTTTTCCCAGCACCACTTGTTAAAGAGGTTGTCTTTTTTCCATTGTATATCCTTGCCTCCTTTGTCGAAGATAAGGTGACCATAGGTTCGTGGATTTATCTCTGGGCTTTCTATTCTGTTCCATTGATCTATATTTCTGTCTTTGTGCCAGTACCATACTGTCTTGATGACTGTGGCTTTGTAGTATAGTCTGAAGTCAGGCAGATTGATTCCTCCAGTTCCATTCTTCTTTTTCAGGATTACTTTGGCTATTCGAGGTTTTTTGTATTTCCATACGAATTGTGAAATTATTCGTTCTAGTTCTGTGAAAAATACCGTTGGTAGTTTGATAGGGATTGCATTGAATCTATAGATTGCTTTGGGTAGTATAGCCATTTTGACAATATTGATTCTTCCAATCCATGATGTGTTTCAAGTTTTATTCCCCTTTAGTATATGTAATGCCAAAAAACTTTTCAAAAGATTAAAGAATATGTACATTGTCACCAGTAGTGACGGGAATGCCTGAATATTGATTAAAGTTAGGCATCATATTCAAGAAAGTGATTAATAGAAAATTATATATTAAATTTGCATTTATTTGATCACCATTAAGAAAACATTTTTTGTATTCTTTAATATTCCCCCAATTTTTGGTAATTTCTGTAAATGCTTTTTAGATCATTAAAATAGATAACCTTATTGTCTCTTTCAATCATTATTCTGTGATTTATTTGAACTTCATACTAGTTATTAAAGATGGGTTTTGTTATAAGATCATGTTTTTTAACCAGAGAGCACCAATGACATTTCCCAGGTCATGTTGTTCTTTGTTCTTAATTTTTGCATCCTTACTAATTATATATCTGGATCATAATTTTAATATTCCCTGATTGATGGACAATTTAGCTAACCTCTTTTTCTTTTTTGCTATTAGACAAAAGTATTCTGTAGTGAATAACTTTATTTTACACATATTCTATAGATACTTTTTTTTTTTCATTTATTTTTATTAGTTGGAGGCTAATTACTTTACATCATTGCAGTGGTTTTTGTCATACATTGAAATGAATTAGCCATGGATAGATACTTTTAACCTTTACTCTTAGGTACTGAAATTAGAGTTTGAGAATCTACATTTTTCATTTTGATGAGTATTGCCAAATTGCCCTCCATTTGTACTCCTACCAGCAGATATAAGACTACTTTCCTCTATATTCTTACCAAGATATTGTCTTAAAGGATTAAATGATTTTCTTCCAATCAAATATCTTTTCATATGTATGTTTTTACTGTGAATTATCTGCTCATATGCACTTCCTAGGTAGCTCTGTGGTAAAGAGTCCTCCTGTCAATGTAGGAAATGCAGGGGACATTGGTTTGATTCCTGGGTCAGGAAGATCCCCTGGAACCGGAAATGACAACCCACTCCAATATTCTTGCCTGGGAAATCCCATGGACAGAGAAGCCTGGTGGGCCACAGTCCAGGGGTTGCAGAGTGTACACGATTGAGTGACTGAGCACATACGCATACATTTATTCATATATTTTCCCATTTTATATTGATTTGATAAATATATATTAGGGAAGCTAATATATTTTTTATATATTAGGGAAGCTTTATGTATTTATATTTAATATATTAAATATAATATTAGGGAAGCCTTATATATTAGGGAAGCTAACCTTTTCTCTGTAAATATTTTTTCTCAGTTTATCTTTGGACTTTTATTAGTGACGTGTTTTTGCCACATAAAAATGTTTGGTTTTTTTTTTATGTAGTTAAATCTGTCTTTTATGGTTTCTGGGTTTTATGACACAATTAATTGTATTTAAAATATGAAAACTGAGTTTTTAAAAAAGGTACAAATGACCTAAAATATCTCTTGAAAAATATATAATATTCCTTTATTTTGTACTTTTTATTAATGGATTATTATTATAGTTTAGTTTAAATGAGAAGAAAAATTATTTTCCCTTTAAGTAATAGATTTACCTTGTTTTATAGATGCCTTCCAGGATGTCAGATTTGTCAGCAACTTGTCAGGTAAGTTTCATAACAACGGTATTGCACAAATTTTGGAAAATAAAACGAGTGTATTAAAAAAGTCAGAATACACTGGGATAAAATTCACAGGCCATTATGTCTAAGCGTTACTTAACTCACACTTGAGAGGTAAAGGATTTAGGCAGAGTTCCTTGAAACACAAGTGTAGGTGCCTGAGCAGAATGCTAAAGTTGAATATGAATTACCTGGGTAAAGATTGAGGAAAGGGATTAAAGGCAGAGAGAACAGTTTGTGGAAAAGGCCTGGCAGTGAAAGAGATTATGGTTATGTCAGGAAACTGCAAGCTGTAGAAGCTATTAATAAGATGGATATTGAAGAGATCTGAGTCTTGAGAAATAAGTAGGGCCAGATCATTTTAACTTTTTGTATACTATGCCACACAGTTTTTATTTCATGTTAAAAGGATATTATATAGGGAAGTAACATGCTTAGATTTTCTTCTTTTTCCCCTCAATAAAAGCAGTTGGCATTTTGAGGAGATTGGATTGAGAGGAAAAAATAATTTGGTAGTTTTTAGAGTAATTCTGGAAAAAAAATAAGAGCCTGAATTAAGATACTACCTATGGTGATGAAGAGAAATAGGCATATTTGAAAAGGGGGATCAATCAGATAAACTCAGTAGGATTGGTGGTGTGTGGGGAAAGGGAAGATTTGAGGGCGGTACCTAAGTTTCTTACTCGGGCAACTAATTACACTTGATCTTAGCCAAAAGGCCGAGAAGCGATTCAGGCAACTAATTAAAGAGTAATATTGTTCTTTAACCAGTGCCTCCAGAGGCACCGCTGGGATTCAAACCCAGGATCTCCTGTTGACTAGACAGGCGTTTTAACCAACTAAGGCACAGTAAGATGTGATGAAGGAACATAAGAGAAAGGAGAGAAGGTCTCCGGTTGTTAGGCTAAGAGCAGAAGTGCATAGAATGAGTTCATTTACGTATATTGAATTGTTTTACCATTTCCAGGCCTTTTCATTCCTACCTTTAGATGGGTAGTTCCATCTGGTGTCTGCACTCAGGCTGAAGAGCTTCCTTTAGCTTTTGGTATAATGCTGGTATACTGGAGATGGGTTTTCTCAGCCTGGTTTATCTGAAAATATGTTTATTTTACTCATTTTTGAAGGATGTTTTCACTGAATATGAAATTTTGAGTTTTCTCATCCCAATGATTTGAAGATACCATTCTATTGTCCTCTGGCTCTTGTTTTTAGTGGGAGTCAGCTGTCATTAGTGCAGTGGTTCATCTGTGTGTAGTGGGTCTTTTTTCCCTCTGGCTATTTTAAGAATTTTTTTCCTATAATTTTGGTTTTTAACAGCAGGCCTGTGATGTGCCTGAGAATGGTTCTCTTTTTTCTTCTTTTTGAATAAATCTTGAATAAATATCTGCAAGTTCATGTTTTTCACCAAATTGTAGCCACTGTTTCTTAAAATCCTTTTCTGCCCCTTCTCTGTCTCTCCTCCCTCTGGGACTCTGGCTACATTAGGTTGCTTGATATTTTTTGCAGGTCCCTGAGGCCCTGTTTTATTTTTGTTTAATTAAAATAATTTTTTTCCATTTATCAAATTAGATCACTTGTTTTGATCTGTCTTCAGGTTCACTAACATTTATACAATCTCCAATGCTGTTTTGGCATCCAGCAAGTAGATGCCTCAAACTAAGTTTATTAATAGAAGCCTGTATCATCAAATACAAATGTATTTATAGTATTTTAATGCTGTGGTAAATGTATTAACTTAATGGTATCCTAAAATCAGAAAGTCAGATTATTTTCATATTCTTCAAAAGTTTCTTTATTTTCATATAGTTTTTCATTGACTGATTTTTTTAAAAGGTCTTTTAAAAGTTATATTATTTTTTCCCCTTAGGTGTTTTTGTGGTCGCTTGGTCAAGCAACATGCTTGTTTTACTGCAAGTCTTGCCATGAAATACTCAGATGTGAAATTGGGTGACCATTTTAATCAGACATTAGAAGAGTGGTCTGTGGAAAAACATACAGAACAGAGCCCAACGGATGCTTATGGAGTCATAAATTTTCAAGGGGGTTCTCATTCCTACAGAGCTAAGGTATGTTGTGTATTAGAATGTCTTACTTCATTTACCTTTTAATTAATTCCAACTCTTTGCAACTCTGTGGACTGGAACCCACCAGGCTACTCTGTCTAGGGAATTCTCCAGGTAAGAATACTAGAGTGGGTTGCTATGCCCTTCTCCCAGGTATCTTCCCGACCCAGGGATCAAACCCAGGTATCCTGCATTGCAGGAAGATTCTTTACGATTTGAGCTACCCAGGAAGCCAGTTAATTAAATAATGTATGTTTATTATCTAACAGTTTATATAATAGTGTGTCAGAAAATTAGTTTTAGTCATCTCTTTTATTTTAAAGTTCTTTGTATCGGTACACACAAATATAGAATTATTATGTCTTGGTGCATTGAACCTCTTTTAGTTTCATTTACTATTTCACTTTCTCTTTGTTCCCTTTTTTTGTCTTTTGGGTTACGTATTTTTTATTGTTGCTTTTCTTCTTTATAACATCTTATTTATATATTTTTCTGTTCTGTAGATTAATTATATAAATACTATGAAATACATCTTTAACTGGTTACTGTTACTGATTAGTACTTTTACTACTTCTGGTCAATGCAAGAACCTTTAGAATACTTGGGACTACATTTATTTCCCTCATGACTTAACGTGCTTTTGTTGGCATAAATTTTATTTTGTGTGTGTGTGTGTATTTTAAAAACTCCCAAATTGGTCCTCCTTGGTGGATCAGTGGTAAAGAGTCTGCCTGCCAATGCAGGAGACACGGGTTCAATTCCTGATCCTGGAAAATCCCACATGCCACAGAGCAACTAAGGCCATGTGCCACAACTATTGAGCCTGTGCTTCAGAGCCCAGGAACCACAAGTACTGTACCCACATGCTACAACTACTGAAGCCTACTTGCCCTAGAGCCAGTGCTCAGCAACATAAGAAGGTACCACAGCGAGAAGCCCAGAGCACTGCAGTGAAGAGTAGCCCCCACTCGCTTCAACTAGAGAAAGCCTACGCAGAGCAAAGACCTGGCACAGCCAAATATAAATAAATAAAAATCTTTAAATCCCCCAATAATAATTTGTGGTTCATTTAGACTTGTCTACATTTTACCTTTTAAGTTGCTGTGCCTGGCTCCCTCCCTGCCTTGATTTGCTAAGCAGTGTCATATGGTGGGCCTGTCTCTCTAGGTTTTTCTGTTCTCTTGGATTCTGACCCCACAAGTTGTCACAGCTTTGGTAGCTTACTGATGTCTTAATAACAGGGGTTGTTAATCTAGATTCTCTAGTTCCCAGGGGCAGAGTTGGTCCAAAACAATGTAGTCCATCATTGTTGAAAATGGAATTCCTAAGGAAGACATAAAGATGGCACAAAAACACATGAAAAGATGCTCAACATCACTCATTATCAGAGAAATGCAAATCAAAACCACAATGAGGTACCATTACACACCAGTCAGGATGGCTGCTATCCAAAAGTCTACAAGCAATAAATGCTGGAGAGGGTGTGGAGAAAAGGGAACCCTCTTACACTGTTGGTGGGAATGCAAATTAGTACAGCCACTATGGAAAACAGTGTGGAGATTCCTTAAAAAGCTGGAAATAGAACTGCCATATGACCCAGCAATCCCACTTCTGAGCATACACACTGAGAAAACCAGATCTGAAAGAGACACGTGCACCCCAATGTTCATCGCAGCACTGTTTATAATAGCCAGGACATGGAAGCAACCTAGATGCCCATCAGCAGACGAATGGATGAGGATGCTGTGGTACATATACACCATGGAATATTACTCAGCCATTAAAAAGAATTCATTTGAATCAGTTCTAATGAGATGGATGAAACTGGAGCCCATTATACAGAGCGAAGTAAGCCAGAAAGATAAAGACCATTACAGTATACTAACACATATATATGGAATTTTAGAAAGATGGTAACGATAACCCTATATGCAAAAAAAGAAAAAGAGACTCAGATGTATAGAACAGACTTGTGGACTCTGTGGGAGGAGACGAGGGTGGGATGTTTCAAGAGAACAGCATCGAAACATGTATATTATCTAGGGTGAAACAGATCACCAGCCCAGGTTGGATGCATGAGACAAGTGCTCGGACTTGGTGCACTGGGAAGACCCAGAGGGATAGGGCGGAGAGGGAGGTGGGAGGGGGGACCGGGATGGGGAATACATGTAAATCCATGGCTAATTCATTTCAATGTATGACAAAAACCACTGCAAAAAATAATTATAATAATTTAAAGCAAAAAAAAAAAAAAGAAAGAAAATGGAATTCCTCATTTATTACTAACATAATCTGTTTTTTTTATTTATTCATTTATGACTGTGATGGGTCTTCATTGCTGCCTGAGGGCTTTCTCTAGTTGCTGCAAGTAGGGGCTTCTCTTCTTTGTGGAGCATGGCCTCAGTAGTTGTGGCACACAGGCTCAGTTGCCTCACAGCGTTTGAAATCCTCTTGGACCAAGGATCAGACCCGTGTCCCCTGCATTGGCAGGTGGACTCCCAACCTCTGGACCACCAGGGAAGTTCTGTAATCTGTTTTTTAAATTTATTAGCTTTAGATTATTTCCAAGCACTACTTAATATACCCAAGTATAATGATGAGTTAAAGCTAATGCTTAAAAGACTTACAGAAGAAATCTCATTACAAATCATTCTTAAGGGAATCTGGAGTCTTCTCAGTTTTATATAATTTATGATATTCTGGGATATTTTTCCTTGGTGTTTGATCTCTGTTTGTAAAGGAATGGATAATATATTGTTTTGGAAAGAACCTTTATTAGAGAATGTTAAAAGTGGCTTTCCGCCCCCCCTCCAACATCTGAGTATTATAGATTTGATATGAATATTTTTGATTTCTTCTTACAAGGAAGAAATACTGTGGATAAATTTGTAAACTAGATGAATGGTAATTGGGTTTATATAATCAGAAAGAGTAACAAATTTACATCCTAATTAAGTTTGAAAATTAGAGTGCCACTATTTCTCTAGCTCTTACAGAATGATTTTCCAACTTTAAAATTGTTTGTTTGTTATTGCTTTTTCTTAGGAATGTAAATATATTACAAGTAGCCTATGAAATCTATTTTATAATAATCTGATGCAAATAAAGTTTTTCTTGTCATATGATGATGCATTATGAAACTTATGAATTATTATTTTTTAAAAATCTTTCTTGTTAGTATGTGAGGCTATCATATGACACCAAACCTGAAATCATTCTACAACTTCTGCTTAAAGAATGGCAAATGGAATTACCCAAACTTGTTATCTCTGTGCATGGTGGCATGCAGAAGTTTGAGCTTCACCCACGAATCAAGCAGTTGCTTGGAAAGGGTCTTATTAAAGCTGCAGTTACAACCGGAGCCTGGATTTTAACTGGAGGAGTAAACACAGGTAAACAGTAATAAAATTGGTATAATTTTTATTTGATGTGTTTGTAAATTTTTCATAATATCAAATATTTGAAAAGTCAACACAGTGTAAATGTATACTAGTCTTCTGTTAAGTAATCTATAGTTCTTAAGGATAAATGCTAACTGAAAAATGAATTTGGTTTTTGTTTGTTCTTTTAAAAGAATAATATGCTTTATCATTTACCTTTTTTTTTTATTAAGACCTTATTTTTGGCTGTGTGTTGTGGCTTGCAGGATCTTAGTTCCCCAGCCTGGGCCGTTGTGATGAAAGTGCCAAATCCTAATCACTGGACCATCAGGGAATTCCCAAGAATAATGGGCTTTGGAACAAGGGTTTGCAAACTATGGTTCCCCGCACCAAATCTAGCCTGCTCCTTGTTTTTGTAAATAAAGGTTTACTGGAACACAGCCACATTTGTTTTTGTATCATTTTATATCATACTTCTGTGCTATAAAAGCAGAGCTGGATAGCTCTTAGACTGTCTTGGCAAAGCCTAAAATGCTTTAAATTTGGTCCTTTATAAAAAGCTTCCTGACCTCCTGCTGTATAGCAAAGTGTTGTTCTTGTCACTTTGTGACTGCTGGTAAATTGAAAAAGGAATGGCAATTCATTGCCTAGACATTGGTAAAAAATAGCTTTTGAAATTAATTTTTAATATAATCTTATATTCTAAGTCTTTCCTATCACATATACAGTTTGGATAGAAGGAAGGCACATTAATTTTAATATCCAAAGCAAAACAGTTATTAGTTTGCAAAAATCTATTTCATTAACAGCAACTGGTCTTTGAAGCTTATTGTGGCACTCTTCTAGCCACTGAAAATATATCATTACACAAAATATTTGCCTTCATAGAGCTTATATTCTAGTGGGAAAGATGTAGAAAACAAGGAGATAACTAAATGTATAATAAATAATAAGTGCTTTGGGAGACAAAAAAATGTAGAGGAGGGATAGTGAGGGATGGTCAAGGAAGCTTCGTTCAGAAGGTAACTTTGAGTAGAAGTGGAAGAAATGAAGCAAATGAGATTAAGAATAATGTGGGACAGAGCATTTAAAGGAGAAGAAATGGCAAGTATTGGAAAGCTAGTAAGAAAGGTCCAGTGTAGCTTTAGTAGAATGAGCAAGGACTGCTGGGTGATGAGATCAGAAAGTTACAGGTGAGTGGTGATGGTGGGGTTGACATGGGGTTTGTGGTAAATATCAGGAGCAACAGACAGATCATTGTATAAGGCCTTGTAGGCCATTATAAGCACTTTATAGTGCTTATAATTAGAAGGGGAGGTTTTAAACAAAGAGTTGACAGGAGCAAAGATATCTTGAATGATAGTTTAAAAATAGACTATAAACAGGCAAGGCAGCAATTGGAAGAACAGTGAAGATGCTATTTCAGTAATCCATGTGAGGAATGAGATCTAATGTGTTATAAAAATCTAATTGAGTGATGTGTTGATTGCTAGGGCTGTTAAAATACCACAGACTGGGAGGCTTAAACAAAAGAAATTTATTTTCTCATAGTTCTGGAGACCCAAGATCAAGATGTTATCAAGTTTGGTTCCTCCTGATGCAGCCCTCCTTGACTCACAGATGGCCATTTTCTCACTATGTCCTCTTGTGGCCTTTCCCATTGCATGTGCATCTCTGGTGTCTCTTTTTGTGTCCAAATTTTCCCTTCTTACAAGGACACCAGCCAGATTGGATTAGGGCTTACCCTAACATGCTCATTTTCACACGATAACATAGAGGATCTATTTCCAAACACCGTCACATTCTAAGGTACTGGGGTTAGAATATCAACATAGGGATTTTGGGGAGGATACTGTTCAGTCCATAACAAGTGGTAATGAGAAGTTATGTGCTCTTTTGAATTACTTTTTCTGTATACTTTCCTCCCAATTTTTGACTCAGTTGGAAAACTGTTGTAGTTCTTTGTGAGTGTGTGTGTTTTGCTTATAGTCCTGAGCCATACTCTTCTTTTTTTTTAGATGATGTATAGAGCAGTAACAAAAACTACAGTTAACATGAGGAATCTAAGAGAGGAGACTAGGCCTAACAACATGGTAAAAGTTAGTTTTACGTGTGTTTCAGGCAGTTGTAGTGATTTGACATTGTGGGTTTTTTTTTTTCTTTTTCTTTTTTGTCCTTGTGTTTTCTTTTGAAAGTTTGTCTTTTGGACTTCGTTGCTTTTTATCTTGTATATGTAAAAAAACTAGCACCAGTTGTAACGTTACTGAGAAACAGGATTGTTCTGAACACAATAAAGACTTTCAAATAAAGTGAATTTAATTTTATATGAACAGGTGTGGCAAAACATGTTGGTGATGCCCTTAAAGAACATGCTTCCAGATCATCTCGAAAGATTTGCACTATTGGAATAGCTCCATGGGGAGTGATTGAAAACAGAAATGATCTTGTTGGGAGAGATGTAAGAGTGTTTTTTAAAATTTCTTTTATTTAAGCTTATGTTGAAACAAAATTAGAGCAAGAATAGTACAAAGTCAACCTAAAATACTCATGATCATACTACAATCCTTTTGAAAACACCATCATAGATTTAAACAGTTGTGATTATAGTGTTAGTACATTTGGTTTCTGCCCTTTTTTGTATAACTATTTCACACCTTTTCCATATCATGCCAGTCTGTGTAATTAAGTTTTTAATGATTGCATGATGTTAAGAATTAATTGTCCTGTCTGTGAAAGTAGTAATCAAATGCTAGTGTTTTATTCAAGTAGGTTAAAGACATGCAAATTGTTGTAGATATTTTTTCAAGAGATTATTAAAAAGAAATTAATTATAATCATTTTCAAATGCAATTAAATTTTTAACATCAATTTTAAAGATTCTACTTATGACTGGAAAAGTAGCAATATGACATTTATTGCTTTTATTCAGTGTCCTTTATATATTGTACTTTATTCTCTAATAACCTGAGAGTTTCTTAACATTGTTAATTTGCTTATTTGCTGCTGTTTCCTTTGCATGGGATGATGAAATATATATTCTGCAGTGAGAACCAAAATATAATTTTCAGCTGCTTAAAAGCTCATGCTTTTTGATACATTCTTTTTTATATTTTGTATTTTTGCCACATTCTTTTTTATATTTTGTACTTTTGCCTTTACAGGTTATTTCAAAATTTGTTTTTACTTTATGTTATATTTAATCCTACCGACTAACTCTCATGTTTGCTGTTGTTTAGGTGGTTGCTCCTTACCAAACTTTGTTGAACCCTCTGAGCAAATTGAATGTTCTGAATAATCTGCATTCCCATTTCATATTGGTGGATGATGGCACTGTTGGAAAGTATGGAGCAGAAGTCAGACTTAGAAGAGAACTTGAAAAAACTGTTAATCAGCAAAGAATTCATGCTAGTAAGGACATTTATAAATTTGTTGTTAAAATTATTCTGGGCTGTATTAATTGCTAGCAGCATTCTATGAAAGGTAGAATGTTCTTTTAAGTCCTCATTTCCTTAGTAGCAGGATGACATACAAAACAACAAAGAGTACCTGACCTTACACAAAATAAGACCTAGGAAAGGAAGTTTGAGCTTAAACAGGATACTCAAATATCAAGGCCAAGCCACAAAAGTTCATTGGAAACTTTGTTGCTACTGTAATCCCCTTGCATCTCAAGACATTCAGAAATATTCTTACTGTATGATATATTCCAGTACATGACTTTGAAGTTCAGGACTGAAGAGGAAAAACATACTTTATTGTGAAGTAAGAATCACTTTACTTAAAGTTGATAATACAAATAGGTATCACTCTTTGGTAGATACGTCTTAAAAGTTAGTATTCTTGACACACACCTTCTTTTCCAGCCATGGTCAAGCTTTCTGGTTCAACATCTATATTTTTATTTCAAAAAGAAGAGATTTTATAATTTTAGGACACCAAAGTGAGCTGTGTGATGAAGTGAAATATAAGTACAAAAATTACAGAATAGTATTTTCAGATTATGATGGAGTCATAGCATCTCCTAAAACTTAGGAGTGTTTTAGAACTTTGCAAATACCTATATTTTGGATTTTTTCACTAGGTATTCACTAAGCAAGGTATTCACTAAATTTTTTTTCTGTTACTCTTATGGAGGTCTTGGATTTTATTAATCTGTTCTGTTTATGTAATCCTGATTCTGTCATTAATTTCTATACTAATGTCTCAATACATTTGGAATCAGAAAGGGATTAAAAATAGAAACATTGGAAGTTCAACTCATGCCATATTAAAAAGCAAACTGAAAACCAACTTGGTGTTTTAATTTCTAATCAAGAGTTAAAGTAGTGAAATATGCAAAATGGTTATTGCTTTTCAGTGAACATATGTTCCAGTGTGTGCCTTGTTATATATTGAATTTTCTAATTTTGTTATTTAGAACAGACTTAAAAGTCAGTGTAAAAGTAATTTTTTTAGTATTTTATTTATATCAGAATAGTGTCATGTTGAGTACTTTAATTCAACACAGTCTTTTAAGAAATTTTATTTTGGCTTTTTATTGTTTCTGTTGAGAAAAAAAATAAGATTAAATTATTGAATTTTGCCTGATATCATAATTAATCTTTTTACTTTTTTAAGGAATTGGTCAAGGTGTTCCTGTGGTGGCACTTATATTTGAGGGTGGGCCAAATGTTATCCTCACAGTGTTAGAATACCTTCAGGAAAGTCCTCCTGTTCCAGTCGTCGTATGTGAAGGAACAGGCAGAGCTGCAGATCTACTAGCATATATTCATAAGCAAACAGAAGAAGGAGGGTAAGTGTATGATTACAACGTATTTTTAATAATTTCACGTAAAGAGGGCTGTGGGGGCTTCCTAGGTAGTGGAGTGGTAAAGAATCTGCCTGCCAGTTCAGGAGACGAACAACATCCAGGTTTGATCCCTGGGTCTGGAGTAGGAAATGACAACCCACTCCAGTATTCTTGCCTGGAAAATTCCATGGATAGAGGAGCCTGATGGGCTGCAGTCCATGGGGTCGCAAAGAGTAGGATACAACTGAGCACCCTTGCATAAAGAGGCTTGTGACTTCTAGAATATTAAGTTAATTTTGGTGTTTTATGAACTTGAAAATACCTTCCTAAGTGTTGAGGAAAAGGCCTGTCTGACACATTATTAGAATGAATTAAAATATAACAGTCTTTGTTGTGGACAGTTTTGCAATATCTGTTAAATATACAGAGGCACATATCTTTTGACTTGATAGTTTTATTTCTGGTAATTTTCCTACAAATGTACATGTGAAGTAACTTACATAAAGTTAGGCATTACAGTGTGGTTTGTAATAATAAAAGATTGGAACAATATAGAGCATATGTCACGGGGACTAGATAAATAACATGGTACATTTGCACAGTGGAATAGTTTGCATTTATGTATGGTTTTAATCTGTTTAGTAGACTTGAGAAGATTTAACAAAATATAGTTGTGGAAAAAGGAACATGTACAGTAACATATATATTATGGTGCTTTTTATGTGGGAGAAAAGCAGAATAATAATTGTGTGTATGGAAAGAGATCCTGGAAAGTTACACAAAGTAATAGTGTTTCTTGAGAGCAGTTGAGATGGAATGGACTGGTGGAAGACAGTGAAAAGGACACTTTCGCTATGAATTTTCACATTTTTATATTTTATATCAAACTTTTGAGCCATGTAAATATATTCCACATTGAGAAAAAGAAATAAAAATGCAAATGTGCTGATATCTAACACATTTTGGTGAAATACTGCTTTACACATCATAATATCTTAAAATTATACAAAATCTTACAGAATGTGAGTACTGATAATGTTAACACATGCCTTGTAAAAAAAAGTTGGAAATAATTCAGAGAAAAATCACTCCATTTTCTGTTTTTCACCCTTGTGATTTGTAGTGGGAGTCTAATGAAGCAGATTTCACTCACGGTCGAGTATTTAATTTTTTTTCCAAGTACTTAATACAGTATCTTTAAATGTCTTGCCCCTCCACCAGTACTTGATGATACTAGATTCTTCAAATTATGGAATTTGAAATCAGTGGATTAAGTTGTGTTTCCTATTATTTCAGGAACCTTCCTGATGCAGCAGAGCCTGATATTATTTCAACTATCAAAAAAACATTTAACTTTGGCCAGAGTGAAGCAGTTCATTTATTTCAAACACTAATGGAATGTATGAAAAGAAAGGAGCTCGTAAGTAGAATTCATCAGAATAAGCCTTTTTATTTCATTCAAAGCACACTGTAAACTAGAGTAATACTTTAAAAAAACTTAATTTTTGGCCACACCTGTGGCTTGTGGGATCTTAGTTTCCCAACCAGGAATTGAACCCAGGGCCTTGGCCATGAAAGCATGGAGTCCTAACCACTGGACTGTAGGGAGAATTCTCAGTTAGAAAAATATTAAAGGCTTGAAAATACTTGAATTTTATTTGGTAAATGGTACAGATTCTTAATTTTCTGGGTTTTTTATTATAATGAAATTATTTCCAACCTCCCCAAAATTGTATATGCCATGTAGTTTGAAATTACTTTGTGATTTATGTGTGATTTATTTGCCTTATGCCTTAGCTTTTAAAATGTAAATGCATAATATTATGGATTAATCTTTAAATAGATCACTGTTTTCCACATTGGATCAGATGAACATCAAGATATAGATGTAGCAATACTTACTGCACTGCTTAAAGGTAAGGTTTAAAATGTATTTGTTAGGTCTTTCATTTACAGTCTTTTTATATAAGTTAGGGTTTTTTAATTGGAGAATTAAAACTTTCAATAATTTTTCTTTTTAAAAGACACAGCATTCACTTTCTGTGACAGTAAATTCACTTTTGTCTTTATATTATATAATTTTTTTTAAAGTTCAAACTAGGATTTATGCCATTAAGCCTGTTATCTTGTTAAGGGTGAATAAAATGTGTCACATTTTTAATTGGCTGAAGAATAAGTGTTTAAAAGTAATAAGGTATTAGTTGACGGAAATTAAAGATAGCATTCTTAAATTTGCGAATTTTATTAGGAAGGAAAGTTTGGAAAGAAAACTTGTATCTTCTAGGACTGAGGGGTTATTATACATTCACTTGAATTGTTTTTCTCTCATTATCTTTCCAAAGGCATCCAAATGATAAATAGTTTATAGTGCGAAATCTTTAAAAATATTAGAAACTAAAATGTTCCATCTAAATACCTGACAGTATGGAATGAGGTAGCAGAAACAGAGCAAGAGGGTGTTGTCTTACCATTCACAAGAATTTTGCAAATGTTAGGCCATAATAAATTGCCAATAGAGCAAACATTTTAAAAATACTATAATAAATATAGCATGTTTACATCATCTAAGAATAAAGATCATAAGTAATAGGAAGCCTAGAAACCATAAAGGGAAAGGTCAATGAATGTGATTTCATAAGTATAAAAAATACAAAGAGTACTAATATTTGCTATATTCTTTCTGTGAACTAGCTACTATACTTTAGTAGTTTATGTTGTTTACTCTTGCAACAGCCCTAAGAGTCAGATTTCCTGTTTTCCTCATTTTATAGATGAGATAACTAAGAATAGGAATGTGGAAAGATCACTAGAAGGTTTTAAAAATTAGTGATAAGCATATGAATAATCCATGGAAAAATGAGTCAGAATTTATGTAATAGATATTAGTGGAAATTTGGAAATGATAGAAAGATGTTAAAGAAACCCTATGAATTGGGGGTGGGAGGGGAAGCTTTTTATCCTCCTACTGGGTATTTGTATACTCCTGATGGATGGTATAACATTTCTGGAATTTATTTTGGCAGTGTATCCAAAACTTTATATATCCTTTTACACAGCAGTTTGACTTCTATAAATTCATCCTGTTAAACATTTGCACAAAAATGTACTTGCCAAAAAATTCAAATAAGTTAATTGAACTTGTCAACTGTTTTCTTTGTTCAATTAGGCACTAATGCATCTGCATTTGACCAGCTCATCCTTACATTGGCATGGGATAGAGTTGACATCGCCAAAAATCATGTATTTGTTTATGGACAGCAGTGGCTGGTATGTAAATAATGTATATAAACAATGTAATTAAGCTAAATTATAACACAGTATTTGCTGAAACTGTGACCTAACTTGACATTTTACCTGTCAGTCAAAAGTGCAAAATTACTGTAACTAAACATTCTGCAGCATCCAGATCCATTTAGAATTTAGTAAGTTTCATTTGCCTCTTGATAAAAACTGTGTTTTTTCATATAGATCTCTAAAAATTCTGTAGCTTGCATTTATGTTTGTCAGGAATGTTTCCTGTAATTGTCTTTTCTTGTGGCATCCTTGTCTGATTTTGGGCTCAGAATAATGTTGGGCTCATAAGATAAATTTGGAAGAGTTTGAGAAGGATTGGTATTAATTCTTTGAATGTTTGGTAAAATTTACCAGTGAAGCTGTCTGGTCCTTATTCCTAATTAGTCTGTTCACAATTTCTATTTCATCATGATTCAGTTTTGGTAAGTTTATATTTCTAGGAATTTATCTGTTTCTTCTAGGTTGTCCAGTTTTTTGGCATGTAATTTTTGTGTTAACCTCTTATGTTCCTTTATATCTCTGGTATCATTTGTAACATCTCTTTCATTTTTTATTTATTTGAGTCCTCTGTTTCTCTTCTTGAGTCTAGCTAAAGGCTTGTCAATTTCTTTTTTTATTGGAATTATAATTGCTTTACACTGTTGTGTCAGTGGAAACTGTACAACAAAGAGAATTAGCCATGTGCACACATATATCCCTTCCTTCTTGAGCTTCTCTGCCACTTCCCCCATCCCATCCCTCTAGGTCATCACAGAGCACCAAGCTGAGCTCCCCGTATTATACAGCAACTTCCCACTAGCTATCTCTTTTACACATGGTAATGTATATTTTTCAGTGCCACACTCCTAATTCGACCCACCTTCTCTTCCCCCTCTATATTCACACATGTCTGTTTTCTACATTTGTGCCTGTACTCCTGCCCTGCAAATAGGTTCATCTGTACCAGTTTTCTAGATTCCTTATATAATGTATATATATATATAGCTAGGGGCCTAACAGAAGCAGAAGATATTAAGAAGAGGTGGCAAGAATACACAATAACAGTACAAAAAAGATCTTCACGACCCAGATAATCACGATGGTGTGATCACTCACCTAGAGCCAGGCATCCTGGAATGTGAAGTCAAATGGGCCTTAGAAAGCATCACTATGAACAAAGCTAGTGGAGGTGATGGAATACCAGTTGAGCTATTTCAAATCCTGAAAGATGATGCTGTGAAAGTATTGCACTCAATATGCCAGCAAATTTGGAAAATTCTGCAGTGGCCACAGGACTGGAAAAGGTCAGTTTTCATTCCAATCCCAAAGAAAGGCAATGCCAAAGAATGCTCAAACTACCACACAATTGCACTCATCTCACACGCTAGTAAAGTAATGCTTAAAATTCTCCAAGCCAGGCTTCAGCAATACATGAACCATGAGCTTCCAGATGTTCAAGCTAGTTTTAGAAAAGGCAGAGGAACCAGAGATCAAATTGCCAACATCCGCTAGATCATCGAAAAAGCAAGAGAGTTCCAGATGAACATCTATTTCTGCTTTATTGACTATGCCAAAACCTTTGATTGTGTGGATCACAATAAACTGGGAAATTCTGAAAGAGATTGGAATACCAGACCACCTGACCTGCCTCTTGAGAAACCTGTATGCAGGTCAGGAAGCAACAGTTAGAACTGGAAATGGAATAACAGACTGGTTCCAAATAGGAAAAAGAGTACGTCAAGGCTGTATATTGTCACCCTACTTATTTAACTTATATGCAGAGTACATCATGAGAAACGCTGGGCTGGAGGAAGCATAAGCTGGAATCAAGATTGCTGGGAGAAATACCAATAACCTCAGATATGCAGATGATACCACCCTTATGGTAGAAAGTGAAGAAGAACTAAAGAGCCTCTTGATGAAAGTGAAAGAGGAGACTGAAAAAGTTGGTGTAAAGTTCAGCATTTAGAAGACTAAGATCATGGCATCCGGTCCCATCATTTCATGGCAAATAGATGGGGAAACCATGGAAACAGTGGCTGACTTTATTTTTCTGGGTTCCAAAATCACTGCAGATGGTGATTGCAGCCAAGAAATTAAAAGACGCTTACTCCTTGGAAGGAAAGTTATGACCAACCTAGACAGCATATTGAAAAGCAGAGACATTGCTTTGCCAACAGAGGTCCATCTAGTCAAGGCTGTGGTTTTTCCAGTGGTCATGTATGGATGTGAGAGTTGGACTGTAAAGAAAGCTGAGTCCCGAAGAATTGATGCTTTTGAACTGTTGTGTTGGAGAAGATTCTTGAGAGTCCCTTGGACTGCAAGGAGATCCAACCAGTCCATCCTAAAGGAGATCAGTCCTGGGTGTTCATTGGAAGGACTGATGCTGAAGCTGAAACTCCAATACTTTGGCCACCTCATGCGAAGAGCTGACTCATTGGAAAAGACCCTGATGCTGGGAAAGATTGAGAGCAGAAGGAGAAGGGGATGACAGAGGATGAGATGGCTGGATGGCATCACTGACTCAATGGACATGAGTTTGGGTAAACTCAGGGAGTTGGTGATGGGTAGGGAGGCCTGACATGCTGCGGTTCATGGGGTCGCAAATAGTCGGACACGATTGAGTGACTGGACTGAACTGATACAGCATTTGTTTGTTTTTCTGACTTACTTCACTCTGTATGACAGACTCTAGGTTGATTCACATTACTACAGATGACTCAATTTCATTCCTTTTTATGGCCGAGTAATACTTCACCGTATATATGTAGCACATCTTAATCCATTCATATGTCGATGGACATTTAGGTTGCTTCCATGTCTTGGCTGTTTCATATAATGCTGCAATGAACATTGGGGTACAAATGTCTGTTTGAATTATGATTTTTCTCAGTATATGCCCAATAGTGGTATTGCTGATCATATGGTAGTTTTATTTTCAGTTTTTTAAGGAACCTCCATACTATTCTCCATCATGGCTGTATCAGTTTACATTACCACCAACAGTGCAAGAGGGTTCCCTTTTCTTCACACTGTCTCCAGCATTTATTGTTGGTAGATTTCTTGATGATGGCCATTCTGACTGGTTGAGGGGGTATTTTATTGTAGTTTTGATGCACATTTCCCTAATAATTGGCTTTTCAGGTGACACAGTGGTAAAGAATCTTCCTGCCAATGCAGGAGATGCAGGTTCCATCCCTGGGTTGAGAAGATCTCCTGAAGGAGAAAATGGCAACCCCACACAGAGGAGCTTGGTAGTCTATAGGGTCACAGAGTCAGAGACAATGGAGCATGCATGCACAGTTGCTTATTTTGCAGATATTTTCCTTTTTGTTTTGTTTATGGTTTCCTTTGCTATACAAAAGCTTTTAAGTTCCAAATGTTTGTGCTTTCAAGTTTATGTTTTCAAAGAACTAGCTCTAGTTTCAATATAGTTGTCTTTTCAATATTTCATTTATATCTGTCTGATCTTCGTTACTTTCTTCCATCTGCTGACTTTGAGTATCATTTATTCTTTTCTGTTCTGGTCTCTTGAAATATAAAGTTATGTTATTTGAGACTTTTTTTTGTTTTATCACTGTGAACTTCTGTTTTAGAACTGCTTTTGCTGTATACCATAAATTTTTGTTACGTCATATTTTCATTTTTGTTTGTCTCAAGGTGTTTTTTTATTTCTATTTTGATTTTTTCTTTGACCCATTTGTCATTGAGTAGTATGTTGTTTGATCTTTACACATTTTAAAATTTTCCAGTTTTCTTTGTGCGATTACTTTCTAGTTTCATACCATTGTGGCCAGAAAAGATGCTTGATGTGATTTCAGTTTTCTTAAACTTACTAAGACATGTTTTGTGGCTTAACATTGTCTGTCCTATAAAATTTTCTGTGTACACTGTAGAAGAATGTGTATTTGTTGCTTTTGGGAAGGAACTTTCTGTTTATCTGTTTTAAATCCTTGGGTCTATTTTGTCATTTAAGGCTTATGATTTTTTACTGATTTTCTGTCTGAATGATCTGTCCATTTATGTAAGTGACTATTATTTTGTATTGCTGTCTGTTTCTCCCTTTAAGTCTGTTACTGTTTTGCTTTATGCATTTAGGTGCTCTCATGTTAGGTACAAAAATATTTACAAATGTTGTATCATCTTGTTGAATTGACCACTTTAACATTATGTACCATCCATCTTTGTTTCTTATTACAGTCTTGTTTTAAACTCTCCTCTGTCTGATATAGGTAAGCTTTTGTTTGGTTTCCATTTGCATGGAATATCCTTTTCCATTTCTTTACTTTCAGTCTGTTTGCGTGTCTTTACATCTAAAGTGAGTCTGTTATAGACAGCATGTAGATAGGGTCTTACATTTTTATGCATTTAGCTACCCTTTGTCTTTGAATTGTTGAATTTAGTCCATTTACATTTAAAATAATTATTTTAAGTATGTACTTTCTGACATTTTGTTAACTGTTTTCTGGTTGTGTTTGTAATTCCTCTCTGTTCCTTTTTTTCCCTCTTGCTCTCCTTTCGTAGTTTGATGACTTTCTTTAATGATATGTTTATATTCCTTTCTCTTTATCTTTTGCATATTTACTATAGGTTTTTGCTTTGTGGTTATGATGAGAGTTACAGATAGTAACTTATATCTCTTAACAGTTTGTTTTATGTTAATAACCACTTCTTTGATCCCATTCTAAATCTTAACATTTTCATGCTACCCTTCCTATTTTGTTTTTCATGTCACATTTTACATCTTTTTAGTGTGAGTTTCTCTAAACTGCTGTAATCGTGGCTGTTTTTTTACTACTTTTGTCTTTTATCTTTATTCTAACTTCATAAGTGATTAATTTACCACTTTTACTGTATATTTACCTTTCCACTGAGATTTATTCTTTCATATGTTTTCTTATTAAAGTACCACCTTTTCTTTTCAGCTTAAAAGAAGCTCCTTTAACATTTCTTGAAAGCCTGGTTTAGTGGTGATAGACGCTTTTATTTTTTGC